CCTGGTGTCACCTGGTGTCACCTGGTGTCCCACACTTGACTGACACCCGTGTGTTTCCTGTGTGACTGCAGTAAAGATGCCGAGCGTCTGGGAGGCGAGCTGTCTCTGCAGAGGATGAAGTCTCTGTCGGAGAGCCAGAGAGCGCTGGACCTGGAGAGGAAACTCTTCACCTCTGACCGGCTGCTCAAACAGGTCAAAGGTCATTCTACTGCGTGGAACAATCGTTTGTTTGACTGTGATGTTAAGGGTCAGACTTTTGTCCACCTCCAGGTTCAGAGCCAGAAAATCAAACTGCAGCTGCGTGTGGAGGAGTTGGAGCACAAATATGAACCCAAAGGTGAGTGGGCAAACCGGGGGGGCGTGGACCAGACTGGGTTTGAATTTGGTAAAACCTGGTACATTGTTTGTAGAAACAAAGATGAACGTGATGTGGAAGAGGAGGAAGGAGAAGCTTCCTGTGGACGTAGACCCTCCGCCTGAGAAGACCACACACGAGGAGCTCCACCAGGGGGAGCGGGAAGCTACTGCTGAGACAAAGGTCAGTCAGGACGTGACCCCTGAGACCAGGGCCGACGGGGGTCTAACAGCTAAGACAGAGAACACCAACCAAGGTGTGTACAGTTGAAGTCTAACTTCCAGGAGGAATTGAACACCGACCACTGAGTGTTCCAGGAGGAATTGAACACCGACCACTGATTGAACTGTACCACTGTACCACTGATTGAACCACTGTCCCACAGCTGCACCGCCCACGGACACTCCACCAGCCAAGTGTGTCAAGTTCTGTGGAGAGGAACCTCCGCTGGTACCGGACCTCAGGTAAGACCACAGTGGTGGGGTCTGTAGACCACCTTAGATGTGATGACACCGTCTGTGGTTCTCAGTAAAGGTTCTGTCTGGTTCTGGTACATTCTGTCTGGTTCACATCAGTAGAAAGGGATCCAACGTTCACCGTCCTTGTCATCGGTTCCGGACTGTTCTACAGCTTCTCTGAAACCTTCGGGCGTTTTGTTCATCACAAACATTTGAACATTTTCACTCATGGAAAAAGAACCTTCAATTGTTTTCTTTCATGAAGAGTAAATACAGTACGTAGTACAGTAAGTAGTACCAGTATTTGTACATAAACAGTACATTCAGCAGAGGCTTTGATGGGGGGGGGCAGAGATGCTGAGAGTCGTAGTACTTCAGTAGAGGAGGAGCTGACCCATCAAATACTCTGTCGACCAGCAACGGTGATTGGGGGGGGCGGGGGGGGGGCGTGTGCCATTCTAGGCTGATTGAAGATGAGGGCGCCGCCACGTTCTGGACCATCTGTAGAGGTTTACAGTACTGGGATCTGTACTACTCTAATCTCATGTGGACACATGGAGTACTGCAGTTTAAATTCTTCTCAGCTTTATTTCCCTGAAATACAGTACAACTAACAAACAGAGGTCCGTGCAGTACACAGTACACAGTACACAGTACACAGTACACAGTACACAGTACACAGTCAGTAGTGTACACCTGTAACCCTGTGTTTTCCTCCCTCTGGTCAAGGTCTCACCTGGGGGGGGGCACACAGTCTACTGAGAACCAGCAGCCGGAGAGAAGAAGAAGACACAAACCAGTGGAGACCATTCACGTCAATTCCAAGAACAGCTTGGAGAACCAGTGTGCTCAGCAGTAGTCCACGACTGCACCGCCACAGACCACCTGTAGAGGCCGCTGCTGCTTTGTTTACTATACATATTATAGTGTGTGTTTGTATTTCAAATCCAGGATTCAAGATGTTATTGTCATTTTCTGTGTAAACATCTGTATTAAAGCATTTATAAAAGAAAAGTCAATCTGTGACCCCCCTCTCTCCCCCCACGACCTGCCCCTCCCAGAAAGATTTTTTAAAAAAATGGACAGAGACGGAGAACTCTAACTCTGAGGCGGGGTCTAACAGTGATGGAGGCAGAGACAGGGTGGAGTCACATGGTCTGAGGACGCCACCAACAAAGAAGAAAACCAGTGGTTCCCAACCGCTGGACTGTGGCACTTCAGAGTCACCGTGTAGTGAAAGTGACTCACCACTGCACCACTGCACACAACCAAATGTGACCTCTGCTTTTTACCCATAACCAACGTCAGCAGGGGGCAGCAGTGTGTAGGGTTCGCTTCCTTAACCAAGCCACCACTGCCCCGACCTGTGGAGCCTGGAGGCAAAGTCACTTAATTGGTCTAAACATATATGTGTGTGTGTGTGTGTGAGAGAGACTAGGAAACAGTAAATTAAACCAGAAGATGATTGAATTTAATTTAATGTCAAATGTTTGTTGACAGTTTTGTTTGAGGAAACAGACAGGTTGCCGTTCTGACTCCACACAGCTAGAGGGCAGCAGTAGTATGTGCTGCTGTTACGGTTCTGTTTCATCAGACACGAGAGCTGTGACGTGGACCAATGAGCGAAATGTGACGTCACAGCTGTCAGTTTATGTACGGACGTCCCTGTTATCGCGTCATTCGTGTCTCGCGGCTGTTTTTGTCCCAGAATTTCTTGGATTTTCAGGTTTAAGGTGAAACAGGTGAGTAAAAAAAAGTGTTTTCTGGACGATCGTGTTTTTTTTTTCTTTACATTTGACTCAGATATGAGGCGGGAAAGAACGTGTTAGAAATCCACGGTTAGGGTTTGAGTTGATGTTCTGTCCCCAGACTCAGCTCCACTGCCGTGTCTTCTGTCTTTTCCAGTTACCATGGAGCGGTTGTCCTCCTTCAGTCTGCTCCTGGTGGGTCTCCTGCTGCTCTGTGCTCTCACGGCCGCTTCAGCCTAGCAGAAGGTACGAGGTCTCGGTCTCGGTCTCTGTTTCTCCGCTCTCTCTTCTCTTTAGCTTCGAGCTAACTCCTCGTGGTGAAGCCTTGTAGAAACAGGCTGAGCTGCTGAACAGGTCTCTCTCACTGTCTCCCTGTCTCCCTGTCTCCGACAGTCGGACTGTGCTCTAACGGTGGTGGAGAACTCTGAGGAAGGAGAAGGAGGAGCTGTGGGTTCTGAGGAGAGTCAGGAGGAGGTGACGGAGGTGGTCCAGCCGTCTGAGCAGTGGAAAACACTCTCCCCTGGTTAGAAGAGGAGGGGCAGTGGTGACAGTGACCCCGACCATGAAACACCACGCTGACTGTGTGTGTGTGTGTGTGTGTGTGTGTAGGCCAGGCAGTTCCAGCAGGTTCCCATGTGAGGCTGAACCTGCAGACAGGTCAGAGGGAGGTGAGACTGGGAGAGGAGCAGCTGAAGTACTGGACAGAGGAGCACAGGTGTGTTGGACGAGGTCACCTGATCCACGATGTCGTCTGTCCTTTATTCATTTCTTCATCAGTCACTGTGTCTTTTGCAGTGAGAGTGAAAAGTCGTCCATAAATCCTGATGAACTCAAACGCAGCATGAAAAAGATCAAACAGGTCCTGAATCAAGTAAAACACACACACACACATACACACACACATGCAGTGAGGCAGCACCTCCTCATACCTGTGTGTGTGTGTGTGTGTGTAGGATTCTGTGTCGTCCAAGTTCCGTCCGATGGAGGAGTTGAAGAAGGACATGGCTCAGCTGGACCTCCTGGTGGAGACAGATGTTCAGGTCCCTGTAGTTCTACATGTAGTTCACGTCGCGGTCTGTGGTTTATTTAGTGTTTATTTATTATGACGACTGATGGAGATGAGGTGCACAACAGCGCCACTGTTTTGGTGCAGGCAGACAGATGCCATTACAAACAGAATTTGTGACTCCAGTGTTGCATCATCAAACGTCAGCTGCTGACTGACTGTTGACTGACTGTTGGCTGACTGACTGTTGACTGACTGTTGACTGTTGTGCTGTAGATAATGAGGCGTCTGCTGGAGCAGTTCAACAACAGCAGTTCCACCACGGAGCAGAGGCTGAAGGTTCTCCTGGAGCTGGAGTATCTGGTCCACCAGGTCACTGCTCCACACACACTCACAGCCATCTACCACCTCAGCCCGCAGAGGTACCGCGTTAACATGGTTGTCTTAAACGTGTGTCCTTTTCAGGTGGACAATGCTCAGAGCCTGTGCTCCCTGGGGGGTCTCCCCCTGGTTCTCCAAGGTCTCAACAGCTCTGACGTCAGACTGCAGGAGAACTCTGCCTTTGTTCTGGGTTCTGCTCTGTCCAGGTGCACACCACAGACGCTCCGACCGCCTGACCCCTGACCCCTGACCAGTCAATGACCTGTTCATCTTCTCACGTGTGTGTGTGTGTGTGTGTGTTTGTGTGTGTGTCCTGCAGTAACCCCGCGGTGCAGGTGCAGGCGGTGGAGGGTGGAGCTCTGCAGATGCTGCTGACCGCCCTGGCCACTGCTCAGCCACTCAGAGTGAAAAAGAAGGTAACGAAGGCTGGTAGCCCCACCTGGTGGAGGGAAGGTATCAGTCCATGTCATTGATCTCACTGTCCTCAGGTTCTGTTTGCTGTGGCCGCCCTTCTACGTCACTTCCCCCACGCACAGCTTCACTTCCTGTCAAAAGGGGGATTCCAGGTGCTGACAGAACTGTTCCGGGCAGACGCAGGCGGCGTCCTGCGAGCTCGCATCGTCACCATGTTATATGACATGATCAGTGAGAAGGTGAAGCACAGACACTGACAGTAAAAGGATGCGGTGTGGTTGGTCTCAGGTCAGCTGGCCGTCTGCTGACCGTCTGCTGGCCATCTGCTGACCGTCTGCTGGCCATCTGCTGACCGTCTGCGGACCGTCTGCTGGCCATCTGCTGACCGTCTGCTGACCGTCTGCTGGCTGTCTGCTGACCGTCTGCTGGCTGTCTGCTGTCCGTCTGCTGGCCATCTGCTGACCGTCTGCTGGCTGTCTGCTGACCGTCTGCTGACCGTCTGCTGACCGTCTGCTGCGCTCGTGTTCTCTTCAGGAGCTGATGTCTCAGTCGGGGTTAGACCTGGTCTCAGATGAGTCTCACCAGGAGCGTGTACGGCAGTACCACCAAGTACCTGTGGAGGCAGAGCTGCTGGAGAAAGGCTGGTGCGGTCTGGCCCCACAGCTGCTGCAGTCCACTGAGCACGACCACAGGGAGAAGGTGGGCGGAGTCACAATCACCAGGACGTCCTAACGATGGACACAGATGACTTTTATTTTCTCCATCTTTCGGACAGGCGCTGCGGGCTCTGTTGGCCATGGCCCCCACCTGTTGGCACGTGTACCGCTCAGACACGTCCTTGTTGGGTTCACTGCGCTCCCTACAGGAGCAGTACCACGACATGGTCCAGTCAGAGATGATCATAGGAGAGGAGAGCAGCTACTACGCAGACATCTTAGAACTGGTCCAGGCGTTACAGGTCAGAATGAAATGACCAAGAACAGAACTGGTGTACGGGGTCAAAGGGGACGAAGACTGTGGTCACCATGACGATGACGATGACGCTGACGTGTTTTTATACTGTGTTAATAAATTATTTTTTGATAAACTGAGTTGTAAAAGTGTGAAGTTATTCAACATGTGATTTAACATCAACACTGATGTATGTGTGACTGGACCAGCACAGACCACCAGGACAGACCACCAGGACAGACCAAAAAAAAAAACACACTCAGAGAAAACATGAGAATGAAGAAAAGATTAAAAAAAAAAAACACACTCAGAGAAAACGAGAAGAAAAGATCAAGAACATCCAGAAACACAACCAGCTGCAGAACAATCACAGCAGTTTGTTTTCACTTTTCATCATCACAGACATTCATTTCTCAGAATTACATTTATTACACAACTGTGACGTCATAATAGATTGTATTAAATACTTTATGGTCATGTGTACAAATACAGGAGCAGGAAATTCAAATAATATGTGGCTTCACATAGTCACAAAAACCTCGCACTAAGCGCACTGCCTCCTAACTCCCTCCCTCCCTCACCCCCTCCCTCCCTCGCTCAGGTCGACTCCGTTACCATGGTACCTGAAGGTTTGTGACGTGACGGTGGAATTGTTTTCTTACTCTAATGTTGAACAGACAACGACGGTAACAACACGATCCAAAGAGTTCGCTGAAACAGATCACGTGACTTCAAAACACTTTCAGACACAGCGTAACCATGACGACTGGCAAGCAAAGCCGCAACGTCCGTATACTGAAGAAAATGTACAGGAGATGTGACCGCAGGGGGCGGTATTACAACTTTCTTTTGTTTACACCCAACCGTGTGACGAAGAAGAGATCAAACCGGACGTACGAGATTGACAAACGGAAGTAAATAGTCGTGTGAAAAAAGCTAATCAGAAATGAAAAGAAGGCTGTGAAAACACCGGGTTCACTCCGCAGGAACATTAACGTGAACGGACACGTTAATGTTCGGCGTCACTTCACTGTCAGAGTGGGTTCAGTCATTTAATCCAGAAAACATCGAGGGCAACTGGACGAACCCAACTTCACAGAGGGGTCGATATTAAATGGTGAGTAGTAACGTGTTTACATTTGGTGAGAGAAGAGGGGGCGGGAGGGGGGCAGGGGGGGGGCTCGCCTTCTGGTAAAATAACGAACGACACTGGTGTTCAACTCAAGTCCATGTTATTTACCTTTTAGGTAAAGTAAGGTTTGTTTTCTAATCACCGCCATTAAAAGGTACAGTATCGAAGTCAGTGACGTGTGCAGTACACCGAGTACATGACGTACTCACTCTGTAGCAGAAGATATTTGTGGGAATATCGAAGTTCCTATCAAAGGGTACAAGTACTTGTTACCATGACGACCTGATCTTCATCTGAAGACACTGAAGACACAGATGTGTGCGTTCACAGTCCGTGACGATGGAGTCCAGTCAGAGATCACGGCTGTCGGAGCTGGTGGAGGAGCTGACCACGTCTGGACAGCCGCAACTCAACCAGGCCAAGATCAAGGAAGTGAAAAAGATCTGCAGGTGAGCTCGGTGTGATGTTGATGTTTGGAGGTGGACTCCACTGTGAGTGTCTTCACTGTCCTCCCACTCCACCGTATCTTTGACTCTCCTCAGAACATCCAATGACTGCGTGGAGCACCTCTACCACTTGGTGATGACGCAGCTGAACGAGGAGCACAGCGAGGTCCGACTGTCGGCCTTCCAGATCGCCACGGAGCTTTTCTCCAGGTCGCACCACTTTAGGATGCTGTTAGTGGAAAACTTCCAGGTAAATCAAAGTGACGGACGCGAACCGCGTCGTCGTGTCTTCGTGACATTCGTGCTCGATGTTTGAATGTATCAAGTGATGTTGGTCAGATGTTTCCACACAATGTTCCAACGTCTCCTTTTCCAGGAGTTCTTGGAGCTGACCGTAGAAACAGACTCAGACCAACCGCTGCCCCCTCCTAAAGAAGTGGCCAAGAAACTGAGGTCACAGGCGATCCAGACGGTCCAGACCTGGCAGTCCACTTATGGAGCAGCCTATAAAAAGCTGGCTCTGGGTTATCACTTCCTGAAGCAGGTGAAGAAGGTGAGAGAGAGAGAGAGAGAGAGGAAGACCTCCACGGTCAGGTTCACGTCAGTCTGTTGTCAGCTGTTTCACTGGACGAGTCAGTGACACTGTCTGTTGTCAGGTGGACTTCCAGGACGCTGAGGCCCGCACTGTAGCAGAGAGGAGGAGGGAGGAGGAGAGGCGAAGGAGACTGGAGAGGCTGTACAAAGACAAGGTGGAGGCAGCGACCAAAGACATGGACGGTAAACACCGCATGAATCCACTCTCCGTTCACTCTCTCTGTTTTACTGCTGTGGTTTGTTTGTTGAAATGTTTTGAAAAGAAACGTGTTTTTATTTAGAATCCTTCCCAGAAATCCAGGCCACGCTGACGCAGATGGAGTCCTGCATGGACCTTCTGTTTCCTCAGTTTGAACTTCCAAACATCCAGTCTGTCAGCAGCAGCCCTTCAAACCGCCAACCAGTCAACAAACGGCCCCGCCACGAGGAACCGCCCCACCACGAGGAACCGCCCCGCCACGAAGAACCGCCCCACTGCAGCACAGATGTTGGCCAATGTTACAGCAAAGACAAAAATAGGAAGGAGAGCCGTGAGGAGAGGAGGACGAAGGACGTTAGGGTGAAGGAAACAAGTGAAGGTGACAAAGAGGAAGGAGACGAAGGGGAGACTGAGAGGAAACAAGAAACAGATGAGAGAGAGGAGAAGGAGGAAGATGAAGAGAGTGATGAAGAGGAAGGAGAAGAGGATTGTGATGAAGAAGACTTCTTCATGAGAAGCTCTGGACTCATTTCTTACTCCTACAGTCTGGACCTGAACCTCAGTCCTGGTGGGTAGATCCTCAGTAGTTTATTATAATGTGGTTCAACCTGAGTGACCTTTGTGTTCTGATGACCAGTCGGCCTGGACATTATCACTGAATGGACACAGGAGTGGAGTCAGGTTTAACATGGGATTTAGAAGTTGATTTGATTTGATATTGTTGAAACATTCATATTAACTTATTCAAACCATCTCCTTGGTTTGATTGAGGTCCAGTTCACAGTCAGTCATCAGTCATCAATCATCCTGGTACTGATGAGAACTGACTCAATCTTTTCTTTTGGGGTTTTTCAGTTTTTGGTTTCGCCCAAGAATTTTCATTTCTGCATTTTTCATTTGTGCATCACTAGTTTTGACCTATTAAAACGTCTTTTTGAACCAATCAAATGCGTTCTCTCTTCTGCATTGTCACACCCAGGTTTACATGTGGAAGAAACGGAGGACAACGAGGCCGTTGTTTCCACGGTGATGGACCTCCACAGACTGATCACCACCAAATATCTTCCAGCTGTTCAGGGCTGGGTGCAGGTTTGTCCAAAGACAATCGAGCTGAAACAACAACCCACACAAATGTTCCTGTTGTCTGGCTGTTGTCTGACTTGTCTGACTGTTGTCTGCAGGTCTTCACTAAGGCCGGTGCAGAGCAGCAGCTGTTGAGGAGAGCGCTGGATGTGAAGCGGTCGTTAGAAGCTGCCCTGCAGAAAGAACAGGAGCTGAACATCCACTCCAAGACCAGAATCCGTAGAGTGGTGAGTTGACCAGTGACCAGTCACCGGTGACCAGTCACCAGTCAACGAGAGGTCAACAAACCTACAGGCGTTGAAACTGTTTCAAATTCAGAAAGCGTTTGATTGTTTGAGGTTTTTCTGAACTTTGTGTTGAAAGAAGGTTATGAACAAACTTCAGTGTGAATCCATACAGTATGACCAGCAGATGTCAGCATTCTACCAGAAATGAGGAGCGAGCGCTCTGACGTTACTACAGACCTCTGTGTGTGTGTGTGTGTGTGTGTGTGTTTGCTTGTGTGATATGACATGACTTCATCACGTGTTTATGCCTGTGGTGTGAATGTGAGCGTGAATGGCTGATTCTTTGTATGTGACCCTGTTGTGTGAAGATGTGTGTTAAAAATATGACAACACGTCATGAGAGCAGGCAGTGATAATGATGAATGAGTAGTTGCATGGTCTGACCAGTGACTTTGAGGTACCCCCACCTACTGTACAGGAGTGTGTAGTGTCACAGTCTGACCAGTGACTTTGAGGTACCACCACCTACTGTACAGGAGGGTGTAGTGTCACAGTCTGCCCAGTGACTTTGAGGTCCCACCACCTACTGTACAGGAGTGTGTAGTGTCACAGTCTGACCAGTGACTTTGAGGTACCACCACCTACTGTACAGGAGTGTGTAGTGTCACAGTCTGACCAGTGACTTTGAGGTACCCCCACCTACTGTACAGGAGTGTGTAGTGTCACAGTCTGACCAGTGTGACCAGTGACTTTGCGGTACCGCCCCCTACTGTACAGGAGTGGGTAGGGTAACAGGCTGACCAGTGACTTTGCGGTACCGCCCCCTACTGTACAGGAGTGGGTAGGGTAACAGGCTGACCAGTGACTTTGAGGTCCCACCACCTACTGAACAGGAGTGTGTAGTGTCATGGTTTGACCAGTGACTTTGCTATAGAAACGGTTGATTTAAATAACTCACAGCGGGGCTGGAGTTGGAAAAAGGCAGTTTCAGGTGAAAGAGACCAGTGGTCGCAAACAGCGCTCTGAGTAAAAGAAAGACATAAAGTTGGAGCATGTAAATCCATCCTTAGCTGAACAGAGGAGCGCAGTGACAGTGACAGAGCACCGGGCGTCTCACTCTGTCTGGTTATCACTGTCAGGGACCAGTCTGCTGCACCAGCAGCCCAGCGCTGCGATAACCACGCAACTTACAGACCCTTTATCATAATTAGCTTTTCCTTTTTAGCCCTAAAAGGCCTTCCATTACTGGGTCTTTCTCTATCAGGCTGCTGACACGCCGCACGATTGGTTTCTGTCTCCACGGCCTCTGAGTACAGTGTACCTTAGCAGCGGAGCTAACGAGACAGCGGCGTTATGGAGAGGCTCATTTTATGAATGATAGAAGACATGCCCCGTGGAGGGGAGCCCCTAGTGGAGGGCTCAGCAGCAGCTTCTGGAAACGAGTCTCCTTCATCGTCCAGCTGAGCTGAAGCTGCTGAAGAAAACTGTTGATGTGGACGGTCAGAGTCCAGAGGTGTCTGTGAACGGGTGGGACACTGGAGGGGAGCAGGTCTGTCAGAGCAGGTCTGTCACAGCAGGTCTGTCACAGCAGGTCTGTCACAGCAGGTCTGTCGGAGCAGGTGTTGGTCGCCCATACAGACTGAGGGTTATGCACTGTGTATGAGAACTGACAGTCACTGACAAATGACGTCAGGACTGTGGTCTTTTCCTCAAAACCACAGCCCAGTTAGGTTCTGATCTATGGCCCACTGTCATGTTGCCTAATGTAGGTCGGAGCCCAGATTAACAGTAAGAAGAACCTGAATGAACCAGAATGCAGTGAAGCCAGTGATGGGCTGAAAACATGGGGCTGTGTCCACAGAGGAGGGGGAGGACGAGGAAGGGGGCGGGGGGTTTGGGGGGAGACGTGCAGACTTATTTGAACATATCTATTTTTAAGAGTGTCTTCAGTCACTGCTCTCCATTCAACAGGGCCGGCCCTTGTTTACTGCAGATAACCTGTAATCTTATCACAGCACAATGGATGTGGCTTCCTGTTCCTCAGCACAGATAAAGAAAGAAAGACTATCCTTCCATTTCTCCCCCCCTCCTCTCCCCTCTCTCTCCTCTTAATGCCTCTCTCGCTCGTCCATGGAGTGAATTTTCTGCAGCTTTGTTGTTTTCTTCTTCTCATACGTTATATTCAGTGTTCTTATCAAATCAGACCAGGGAGGGAACGTTGTTGTTGTTGTTGTTGTTGTTGTTGTTGTTGTTGTTGTTGTTGTTGTTGTTGTTGTTGAGTCTGGTTTGATGAGATGAGGTGACACAGGTGGGAAGTCAACGTCATTCAGATGTTTATCCTGTGGTGCATTCAAGGACCAGCAGCTGCATGAGACATGGATGTGATTGCTGTACATTGGCATGGAGTGGGTCACAGTGGGCCACAGTGGGCCGCAGTGGGCCACAGTGGGCCGCAGTGGGCCACAGTGGGTCACAGTGGGTCACAGTGGGTCACAGTGGGCCACAGGGGGCTGCAGGGGGTC